TCTCTTTCAACCATCAAATGTCTCTTACACAATGATATATTGTGAATTGTTTTTATCCACTCAATTAAATGTCATGACTATCGTTCGATTCTAATATTAAAGTGGTGAAAGTGAAAACGTATATCTCATTTTACCTATATGTACCTAATTTTACCCCCACCACACTTTTTTATTTCTTTCCACCATCAAACCTTGACCCCTTATTTGTGTTTGAGGCCCTATTACTTCATAAGTAGTCATTTGGAACCAGTCAACTTAATTATGATATCTCAAGTTATCGCTCTTAAATAATAATAACTTTAAAATCCAAATATTTATTGGACTGGACAACTTTTGTTAGCACAAACACTCTCAATGAATCCCTACCAGTCCTTTAATAACGAGATGATAATTATTGGTTATTTTATACTCTCAAAATCTTAAACCACTATTGTTTTTATTTATTTTTAATGATGTGATTTTCTTTATACAACGAGTTTTATGGGGTCACTTTAGGTGCGAAATCGATTATTTTTTTGTTGGTGCTACCAGCCCCAAAGGCCATGACGCATAAGTAAGTGGATAAAACCAAACTGTTTGGACGAACTATTAGTGGTTTAAAAGACATGGTTACTTCAAATTTAACATTTTGTTATCATTACCTTCCTAATGAACTATTCAATAACTTTAATAGTTTTTGTCGATCAAAAAAATATTGCATGAGAGACCCGGTGTAATGAAGGGGTGGTAATAGGAAGTGGAAAACGTTATTTGTGAAATACACAAGTTATCCAAAGTAATGTCAAAGTCTTTATCATATAACTTTGCATAGTAAGATAAAAAGATGATGGAAAATTTTGTTAACATTCAAAGCTTATAGGGTTATGTAGACAATAAGACTCGAACTTGCAATCTTTTACAAAGCACTAGAGATCGTCCACAAAATTACATAGATATACACACAAAAATCTGAAGTTTTTTTTAATGCTCCAATACTCAAAAAAATGAATTAAAAAATATATATATTTTGGAGCTTTACTTTTTTTCCCAATGAGTTTTAGAAAAACCTTTAATTGTAATGCCATGATTTTGGAAGTGATCACATTATTGAGCATTGTGGGTCTTATTACAGAATGCACAACATTTAAATTGTTTTTTTTCTTCCTCTCTTACGTATATGTACAAACATACATATAAACATTTATTTTCAATGTCCGTTTTTTTCTAATATTACATATCGAAATAACTTATATTTTGCCTAATTATGAGATACGCTGATTACTCTCATAAAAAGGATTGACAACCTAGTTCCCAAAGTATAGCCTCTGCTGTTGAGTTGTCATAGCTATGATTTATTTCCTCTAGACCCTTATTCCTCGGGGAACAGTCTCATTTGCTCCGCACACCTTGCTCAGTATATTTTCTTGTATTAATAACAAGTTGTTTATCCCGATATACTTCCCTATTTAATGTTTTTTTTTTTTTTATCCTTCTCATTGTTGGGGTGAATCTTATGACTCTGTCTCGGTAGCTTGTCGCAATCGTTGCCTGTGTTATGTTGCGCGACTTGTTGACCCTTGATGGATATACAGTAATCATATTATTTTTCTATATTTTATTCGTTTTTCCCATTATCTCTGTATCGGACGAATATTGACCCTTTGTTACCTCCGCTGCTGTGCATTCGTTCTTTCTTAGTTGTTGAAGCTTATTTTTTGTTCCTCGAAGTAGTTACAAGAGCCCAATGTGATTGTTGTGGTTGGCATTGCAGGTGGGTGGCAAGGTGAGGGGGAGAGGAGGATGAGAGGAGGAGAAAGGGGAGGGAAACCTTAGGAAGGAAGTAAGGGTGTGAGCAAGGATAGGGAGGTAAAAGGTAGGGATGTAGGTGGAGGTGGGGAAAAGGGGAGGGGTGGTGTAAACGAGGATATGGGCAACTTGATTTAACAGGGAAGTGGGGTAGGGTGATCGGGATGAGGGTGTAAGAGTACGTGGGAAAATAGGGAGGGATGGCGGGGCTGAAAATGTAAGTATACAAGTCGAAATATAAAGGGGTGGTCGTAACTTATATATCCGTCGGGATTAGCGAGAAGGGGACGAGGAGGCATGATTATGATAATTTTTTTATTGGTTGGGGAAAGGCATTGTAAAGATTGGACCAGCGGACGTTTAGGGTGTTGCAATTATTTGAGAATGAGTCACTTTTGTAGTTAGTGCCTATATTGTTGGTCTCATATGCTAATGCTTTCCTTCGCCAACCTGTTTTTCATATTAATACATTCAAATCGCTTATCTTTTTATTCGAATTCAACCACCATTTCTTTAAGTTATTTTTCCCTATCTACCTCCTACTTGCTTTATAATCCGGGTCAGTTTTTCAATCAATTTATGACATACTCTTACTATGTTTACCCGATTTAATTTTGCTATATTTATTTTCGTCCACATGTATTAAAAGTTTAACTCCTTCCTTTCAGCATGGCATCAATTTTTTAATAATACCATTAGTATTATCAACCTCGTTGCATAAAACACCAGTACACTTGAGCCTGGAGGTGTTGCACTGCTTCCCAAACTTTTAAAATTGTCAGCGATACAATTATTTTCTTTCTGGTTGTCGCTGACAACCATTGTGATGTAGTAACTCCAATCCATAAAAAAATTAGAGTGGGCAACTCATAATTTTTTACAAGTTTGGAATGTGTATATGTTTAATGAGGTTATGTTTTTTGTACCATTATAGGAGTGACAAAACCCGACTAGAAATATTTTTACTCTACTTTTTCCTGCAACCGGTATATGAGAAAGATAATGGCGGTGTAAGATCCTATATAAAGATGTGGTTTGTGAGTTTTGACATAGAGCATCCTATCACCTCTATATTATATGGCCATCAGGCGTACCAATAAGCATTGCACTACATTTGCAATTCTTATTGTGATAAGAGGATATAGTACAAGTATAGCAGTGATAACATCCCTTTTTATTCAACATTTGAGCGAGAAGTTATCAAATCCGTTGTCGTAAGGTATTTGTGCAAAATATATCACCCGAATGTCGGCCGCGAGGTGAGCATTATATGAACATAGGATACCTTGGAAAGGTCTGCAAAGTCTGATTCTTGTAGCGGGAAGTCTCGTTCCCATCTTTTTAATGATATAGGTGGACTGACACAACTTGCGAGCAAACCGTTAACCCTCCTTTATGGTGTACTTCCAAACTGAGATTGGTTTTGTAGCTGGCTAGTCCCATTTATCCGGGTCAAGCGAGACACATAAATTGGTGATGGCATTTCATTTGGAAACAACACATCTTCTTCATTCCCGTCTACCCTAATCCTGTTGACTTGGTTTGTTGGGAACATGCAGTTCAATTGTATGACCCCAACTTGGAGGGGATTTAGGTTGTATGTTTGTGGCTCCACCTCCTAGTTGAGTATTTTGTGCATCATATATATGGTTACGAGACGACTTTGGTGACCGAGTCTCCGTTACGGGATTGGCATCGACTTTTGTGGCCTAGTCTGTTCATCTATCCCAACACAAAATTGCAGATGCAGAGCACTGCACTGAATGAAGGGGGATTGCATCTTGCATTTTTTTTAAGCTTTGTTTCAATCTCCCTTATCCTTATTAATTGTGTTTCAATCTCCCCGTCAAAGAACTTGAAGACCCCTTTCCTGGCCCAATGCAACCAATGCAAGCTGCTCTTCAAGGTGGATGGCTTCCTTCAATGTCTAGTATGTGTGGATTCCATATAGAGGTTGCCTCCATACTTTGTGCCATCTCATGATAATAATTTGTTTTGTCGGTCCCATCTCTATCCACGTGCCAACGATGGTAGTCCAATGGGGATAGTTCTTGAGATCTCATCTCACCTCATTTCGCATCATGTCGTCCCTTTTGTTTTTTGGGGGGTGAAGTGTGGCCTACCCCTTGTTTGTGAGCCATTCCAACTGATGGACCAGTCTTTTAGGGAGTGGATGGAGGGGCCAAGTTGGCCAGCTGAATGTATGTCAGTGGTACCCACGGAATGTCCCTGACCAGCAACATCCTGATGATCACTTTAAAAATCAGCGCTTTGATTTCATCCTCGGTATCTATGGAGTAGACAAAACTAATGGCCCCCAGTCCCGTCCAAGAACAACGTGTGGGGGCGGTACTGTCGGGGCATGCAGTTCCGACTGTTTTCTTTTTCGTCAAGAAGGTTGGCCGGACATTATGTGCGGGGAATAATATGTGAAATACCCCTATAAGTTGAGATAACGCCAAAATGCCCCTCAAAGATTTGCGCAGAGCGGAATACCGCTCTCGCACAAAAATGTTTTGTGAAATGCCCCTGGTGTCGGTTGGACCCGCCTCCTGCCTGCCACTCCTTTGAAGTCTCCCTCTCCTCTCCTCCCCCCCTCCCCCCCCGCCCTCCTCTCTCTCTTTCTCTCTCTCTCTGACAGCACAACTGCTAAAACAACAGCCACTTCCAACTTCTCTTTCTCGTTTCCAAAACACCCTGCTCAACACGATGTGGCATATGTCTCAACTTATAGTGGCATGAATCAGGGAGGCAAACTGCCGCACATATGGGCCACTGTTTTGCGCAAAGTTGTCCACCCCGTATGGAGGGCAAACCAGGTAAAACAGGGTGCACACCCAGGCCCCAAGGACGAGGTCCAGATTGCAAATTTGCACGCGGGCCTGCCAAACAGGGTAAAACAAGGTGCACACCCAGGCCCAAACGACGAGGTCCAGATTGCACGTGTGCACACGGGCCTGACAGGGGCAAAACGCAAAGACTACCTAGTCCCCAAAGGGCATTCCGCTCTACGCACATCTTTTAGGGGCATTTTGGCATTTGGCATACATTTCAACTTATAGGGGTATTTCGTAAATTATGTCTTCTTTTCTTTTTTTCTTTTTTTCTTTTTCTTTTCTCCGCGTCCGGTCCGCGAGGTCGCGTGCACCATGCACGGGGGATGCCTGCGGAGCGTCGGCGGTTCTCAGTACGGGACATCAGCAGGTTCGGCTCAGGCGGCGGTGAGGTGGCGCGCAAGTTGATGTGATGATGCGGACAGTTGAGCTGACTTGACGTGCGTAGTGCTCGTGCATCGCGTGTGGAGCAAAGTGTGTGTAACATCGGCGCCGTGTGGAGGAGCTTGCTTGCTTTCGGGAATCGCGCGTGCATCGCATTCTGTGCCCGGCGAGTGAGGTATGGTGTGTGTTTCGTCTCTGGAGTCGAAGCTTTCGTCCGACGCAAACATCGGCGCCTTCATCGCCGTGTGCATATGGCAGATCAAGGTACGATGTCTCCTCTGCTCCTGTTCCTCCTGCCTCCACCTCCTCCCCCCCCTCTGCCGCTTTCTTCACTTCCTCGTCTTCTTCTCCTCCTCGTCCTCTTGCTCTTGCTCCGCTCGTTCCGCTCCCGCTCCGCTCGTTCCGCTCCCGCGCCGCTCGTTCCGCTTCAGCTCCGCTCCTTCAGCTCCCGCTCCGCTCGTTCCGCTCCCGCTGACCATGATAGCGATGGCGATGATGATGAGAAGAAGTATGGAGGGAGGGAGTGAGGTGGAGGTTGGCGATTAAAGGAATCGAGGGAGACGAAGGTCGGCGAAAAACATCCCGACGATGATGATGATGATGATGATGATGATGATGATGAAGCTAGATGGGGGACGGAGGTTGACGATGGGTGGAGGGAGCTGGGGATGGAAGGAGACGGGCATGCACGATAAACAGTGCGCCGATCATGATGGAGGTTGAAAAGGTATGGAGGGAAGTGTAGATGGAGGAAAGGGATCGATCGAAGGAGATGAAGGTCGAAGAAAAAACGCCCCGGCGATGACGACGATGATAACGATGATGATGATGATGATGATGATGGTCGCCACACAATCCATCTTCAGCCTCCGATCCCGATTGCACGCCCGCCCATCGCGATGTACAAATGGTCAAGCTGACGCCCGATCGTAGTCGCTGTATCTAGACTGAAGGTTTGAATCCTATCGCCTTTTTTGAGCCTACGACTCAGCAACCCCGACTCAGCAATCCCACTGACGGCGATAGGATTGCGGACTCAGCCGGCCCTTTTTTGAGTCTACGACTCAGCAACCCCGACTCAGCAATCCCACTGACGGCGATAGGATTGCGGACTCAGCCGTCCCATGGGATTGCGGACTCAGCCGGCCCTTTTTTGAGCCTACGACTCAGCAACCCCGACTCAGCAATCCCACTGCCGGCGATAGGATTGCGGACTCAGCCGTCCCGTGGGACTGGAATGGACTGTCCAGATGCTACTGGCGGCGGGGCAATCCCACCACAAGTGAGTCGTAGGCTCATAAAAGGGCCACTGACACCTTTTGCACATCATTTCAATCTTCATGCCATGCTCGACTAAGGTAGCCATACAGCCTGCGCATGGAGTAGCCATCGGAGAGACCACCGTCTTGCCCCGAACACAACGCACCCTTATTTTGGCTGTATCTGGCCGGAAATATAGCTTGATTACATTCATTTTTAGGGTGCGTTATGTTCGGGGGAAGACGGTAGCCATAATAGAGAGAGAGGCTTGCCTTTGACAGGACAGTAGTTTCCATTTTCTTTTCCAGCCAGCATCTTAACCCCCCAGTACGACTCCCAAAGTCGTGGGCCCGTTAGTTAACACGCCACACTTTTAAGGAAACGTACGGTACGGGCCACTACAGGAGCGTCCAGATTCATCCGACTAGAAACGTTTCTACTCTATTTTTTTTTTTTTCCAATGGCCTATAGCTGGCCCAAGTACTGGTGTGGTTTAACAAGGCAAAGTTGATATCTTCCATCTTTAAATCAAAATACTAAAACCATTTAACTTTAGCGTTAATCAGGGAGGCCCTGCCTGCTTCAACGAAGGTAAACAGGCTGTATGTAGCCCATCCAGGCGTTGAAGGACACTCTGCTTAGATGAGTGAGTACTCACACCTGTCGGAGGCCTTTGTCAATTGGCTTGCTTTTTTTTTTTTTTTTTTTTTTTTTTCCCTTGCCTCGAGGAATTTCAGCCTGTAGTCGAATGGGGAATGAAAAGAATCCAAGCTGGGCCAGTCGGAGAGGTTTTGGGGGGTACAAATTTCGTTGGGAGGTTTTCATTGTGCAGATGCAGATGCTCAGGACGATATCCTCCTCCTTCAAAAAGCGCTTCACCAGATATAGTGACGTGGGGCAAAGCTTTTTACTACTACGGTAGTATGAGGGCCCAGTGATCAGGGTAGGTAATATCTGATCCGTGGTCCCCTCCCCTCGGGGAAAAAATAAAAAGTAAAAAAAAATAAAAATAAAAATAAAATAAAAATAAAAATAAAAAATTGAATAGACGTAGGACAATAGCAAAACAAGAAAGACCGAAAAAAGCGCAGGTTGATGCTGCTGCTGATGATGATTATGATGATGTTGATGATGATGATGATGATGATGTTAATCATGACGAGGAAGATAACGGTGATGTGGGTCGTTGGAATCAGAAGACTGGAGATGGCGAAAATGATGGTGAAAATCTGAAGTCTGGGTATGGCGATAATGATGGTGATAATGAATCGTTGGCTTCGTTGGAATCACCTCAAAATGGCAATCGCAACCATGATGATGATGAGGAGGAGGAGGATGGGGAGAATGGTGGTATGAATAGTTGGACTCTGAAGATTGGGGATCATGGCGATAATGAGGGTGATAATTAATCTTTGACAGCGTTGGAATCACCTCAAAATGGTGATCGTGATGATGATGATGAGGAGGAGGAGGAGGAGGAGGATGGAATCAGAACACTGGGGATAAAGAAAAGGACGACCATAACGCAGAACTGGGCGGTACAGTCCATTGGGATAAGAAGGGAAGTGAAGACAGGGGAGGGGGTTTCAAAGATTCTGGCTACATGAAATGTAGTGAGCACGAGGGCAAAGAGAACAGTGTGGAAAAAGCTCGTAGCCGGCGGGGGAGGAGACGGGATTGGAGAATTCCTTGGTGCTGAGAGAAAACGTGTGCATGTGTGTGCGTGTGTGTGTGTGTGTGTGTGTGTGTGTGTGTGTGAGTGTGTGTGAGTGTGTGTGAGTGTGTGTGTTTGAGAGAGAGAGAGAGAGAGAAATCATAGAATCATTGAACACCACTGAACACAGAGACTATTGAACCTTGGCTGAGAGGTCCCTGACCTGCATGACAGTGTTATGGATAGAATGAAAGGCAGTTGCCAAAAGGATAGGCTTGCTCAGGTTAGGTTGTTCATTATCCAGTGGCTACTAGCTAGTCTTCAGTTACTGAGCTGATTGCAGCAGTTACTGTTTCTCAGAATTGGTTATTGACTTGTTACAAGTTTGGGTACAGTGGGTAGTGGGACTAGTGGCTAACTCCTCTCAGGCGCCTTAGGGTGAAGAGGTCCCATTTTTGCTGATTAGCCGCAGAAAGTTTCTGAACTGTGAGGAGTTTCATCAAGATTTATCCTTTGGAAGGGACGCTGGACCCGGTTTCCAGCAGGTGCAGCTCCCAACCAATAGAAAGGAGCCATCGGAACCTCGCAGGCTTCTACCCTCTGGGGCTCTTACCACCCAAGGGGTAGAAGACCTTGCCCTGAACGATGATTGAATTGAAAAAAAAAAAAAAAAAAAAAAAGTGCAGGTTGAGCACACTAAGCAGCTTGCGCAAATTTTTTACAGGTCCCGCGCTCCGTCGTTAATAAGGGAAAAAAGAAAAAAGCGCGGGAGAATTGTCAGCGCACCTGTCGGTGGTTTTTTTTTTTTTTTTTTTTTTTTTGTGTGTGTGGTCCGATGGACCACGTATCAGATATTAAACTGTTTAGAACGGATACTACACTTGATCTTAGCCAAATGGCCGAGAAAGGTATATCGGTCGGTGTTTCTTTTAAGGCGCCCGACGCAGTCATCAAAAGTGTATTAGGAGCTCGCCTCGCAGGACGACTTACCAAAATTGGAAAGAAGACAAAAGCTATGGCGGGTGACTTACCAAAAGTGGAAAGAAGACAAAAGCTATGGCGGGTGTATGCGTGCAGTTTCTATAGGGAAAAAAAAAAAAGGTTTTCCATTGCGCACATTTGGTGAGAGGGGCGGTGGTGAGGCCCTTTAAGATGCAGGTATCGTCATCATGAGCAGCGAGTTACCTAAAAAGGCAAAGGCAAAATTTGCCGAAAGCGGGAAGAGAGAAATCCAAATGTTCCAATTTTTTTTTGGGGGAAAAAAAAATAAAAAATAAAAAATGCAGAACATGCTGGCAAATGCAACAAGCAAACGACAAAAATGAATAAAGGGAAGAGATGTGATCGGGATCGGGTTCGATAAGAGTCGTGCCACGTGTCGCCGAGGTCAACACAGACCAGTATGTGCAAAAAAAATTCCTCGCATACAGCTGTCTGGGAGCTCCCTAGTGCACACACTCCACCACTAATACTTTTTTTTTTTTTACTAAGCTGTGGACGAGATTGCAGCCAGATTCATTCACGTCTGGCCGTAATTACAGTCAGATACGTTTAGGAAAGTGCTACTACCGTAGTGTGAGTATATGCCCTTAGTTAGCGATTGTAGTAATTAAGCCGTCAGAAGAATCTTGAGACAACTGCGACCTGGATGGACACCGTGTGAATGATCAATCAAAGGTGTTCTCTCGTGCCACGTGTCGCCGAGATCAATACAGTGCTCGATGAGCCATGGAACGGACGCATGCCACATGTCGCCGAAATCGAGACAGTCGTCGACGAGCCATCGAATGCACACTTGCCACGTGTCGCCGATATCGATACAGTGATCAAGCCATCGCCATCGAATCGATGCGTGCCACGTGTCGCCGAGATCGATACAGTGATCGACGAGCCATCAAATGGACGCGTGCCACGTGTCGCCGAGACCAAGACAGTAATCGAGAGGCAAGGGGTGAATAGAAAAGAAAAGGACGAAGAAACAGGCGAAGGAAAGAACAAGAGAGAAATGGAAAGGGAGCAGCGGTCATCGATTGAAAGCATCGATGCACATCCTCGTGTTCCTTGAGCTCAGCACGCGCAAGAAGAGGAGATGTGATGGGGATTGCGGTCGTGGTACATGCG